AAGACTTTCATACTGAATTAATATTATTTCCATCCCTCCTCTTCCCCATCTAAAATTCATGGCTTTTTCTTCCTTAATTTCTATTGTTACATGGGTATGGTGTGGGGGGGTGTGGTGTGTGTATGTATGATATGTGTATATGTGGTGTGTGTGTGGTGTGTATGTATGATATAGAATGGGTGTGTGTGATATGTGGTTTGTGTGTGGTGTGGTGTAGGGAGCTGTGGAGTGTATTTGTGGTATGTGTGTGGTGTGTGCATGTGTGTATGTGGTGTGTGTGGATGTGTGGTGTGTGTATGTGTGTTTGTGTGTAAGTGTGTGGTGTTTGTGTGTATGTGTGGTGTGTGTATGTGGTGTTTGTATGGTATGTGTGTGATGTGTAGTGTGTGTATGTGTTTGTGGTTTATTTGGTGTGTGTGTGGTGTTATGGGGGTCTGTGGGAGTGTATTATGGTATGTGTGTTTAAATGTGACTGTGTGTATATGTTTGTGTGTGTGGTGTGTATGTGTTTGTGTGTGTGGTGCATGTGTATATGTGTGTTTGCATGGTGTGTGTATATGTTTTTCTGTGTTTTTGTGTGTGTGGTATATGTGTATGTCTTTCTGTGTGTGTGTGTGTGGCACATGTGCTGTGTGTGGTGTGCATGTGTGTGTGTGTGGTGTATGTGGTGTGTGTGTGGTGTGGTGTGGGGTGTGTATTGTATAAAACCTACTGAGTCCATTTAGTTTTGTTCGTGTGCACATGTGTTTAGGGCTGACTGCTTATCAGTGGACTCATCTTTAGAGAAAACTCATTCTCTCCTCAGCAGCCATTGATTGCCTATGGCTCTTTGTCTAAAAGTAGAACCTTATGAAATCCAACCCCATACATGTAGTACGCTAACAGGTCCATGCAGGTGTGTTTCAATGGCCCTGTGTTGAGATTTCATGAGTGCACCATCCCTATCATGTCTAGAAGACCCTACGTCACATCCGGCACCCTGGTCCTCTGACTCTCACCATTTTTTCTCTCCCTCTTCCATGATGTTGCCTGAACCTTGGGTATAAGGATTGCACTGTAGATCTACTATTTGGGAGCTGGACCTATTCAGAGTAACTTGGATTGTTGTGATCTGAGTGGCTTAAGGACTGACCTAACCAGGGTGACAAGGGATTGTAGAAACCAAAGACACACAGACACACCTCCTGGCTCGTTTTATATCAACTTGACACAAGATAGTCATCTGAACGAGGAGACCTCGACTGAGAAATCCCCCATTAGATCTGGCTGTAGAGCATTTTCTTAACTAGTGACTCATGCAGGAGGGCTCAGGCCATGGCGAGTGGAGCCATCACTAAGCTGGTGGTCCTGGGTTCTGTAAGAAAGCAGACTGAGCAAGCCATGAAGAGTAAGTCAGTAAGCAGCACTCCTCCAAGGTCTCCGCATCAGTTCCTGCTTCCAGGTTCCTGCTGTGTTTGAGTTCCTTCAGTGATGGACTGGAAGTGTAAGCTGAAATAAACCTTTTCTCCTCAAGTTTGTTTGGTTACGGTGGGTCATCACAGCAATACACACCCTAAGGAGGACAGAAGTTGATGCCAAGATCATGGGGCACTACTGTGACACACCTGATAATCTTGTTTGGGGGAGGATTATGGAACGACTTTGGAACACTGGGCAAGAAAAGCCACTGAGTGTTGAGAGCTCAGTGGGATGTTCTAGAGATCTTGGAAAAAGAGTGTTGAGAGGAGTGCAGACAATGGAGCCCTGGCTTGTGGAGTTTCCGAGGGAAGCAAAGACTCTACAGAGCATTTTGTGTGAAGAATCTGTGCTGTCTGGTGAGCTGGGGTAGTGATTGAGAACAGATCAGCATCACTGAGGTGAATTCTCCCCTGGGGTCAGCACACTGAAGCTGTGTTCCAGTGGCAACCAAGGTTGTACCTCCTGCTGGCAGCTGAACTTGGTAGTGTAAGCATCACCCAGGTGGTATTTGTTTTGAAGGTACAAAGGGGCCATGGAGAGCAGATGAGGCTTGGCACTCTGAGAAGCCAGGAGAGGCCATTGGTGAAGGTGCAGCCACAGGATTGGTTGAAGTCCATGGCTGGAGGGGTCATGAAGAGAACTTGAGGCTTGCCACCATGAAAAGAGCCCAGGAGAGGACATTGGTGAAAGTATAGCCCAGCTGCAGCAGAAGACCCTAGTGTCTTAGAGCTGTCAGTACCATGGGATGACCACCAAGAACAGCATTAGTGAGGAGAGGGGCCAGCTGGAGCCTAGAAGACAAGCTGTCTGTGCTGCGGAGCCCAGAGCTGGAGAAGTGACCCATTCTCTTCAGAGGAGCCCAGAAGATCGTGAGTGGATCCCAGATAGTTAGACATTGAGTTATGCACACCTCTGGAGTCTGGTTTGCTTTGTTCAGGTTGTGCCTGGGCCCTGGTTCTTCCCTCTTACAAAAGTATTTAATTTATTTTTGATTTTACAGGTGCCCACAGTTGAGAGAATTTGAATTTTAAAATACTTTCGTTTTTATTTTTATTTATGTGCATTGGTTTTTTGTCGTGGGTGTCATGTACCCTGAAACTGGAATATACAGACAGTTGTAAACTGTCATGTAAGTGCTGGGAATTGAACCCCGGGTCCTCTGGAAGAGTAGTCAGTGAGTGCTTTTAACCCCTGGGCCATCTCTACAGTCCCTTTGGATTTTAAAGACACTTTTTTTTCCTTTTTTAATTTAATTTAAATTAGAATCAAGATTGCTTCATATGTCAATCCCAGCTCCCTCTCCCTCCCTTCCTCTCCTGCCCCCCTTCAAACCTCCCCCAATCCCCACTCCACTCTCCCAGGAGGGTGAGGCCCTTCATGGGGGAATCTTGAAAATCTGTCATATGATCTGGGGCATGGCATAGGCCCTTCCCCATGTGTCCAGGTGGAGACAGCATCCTTCCACATGAAATGGGTTCCCAAAGTCCCTCTGGATGACAGGGCTAAATTCTGATCTATTGCCCGGGGCCCCAAAGGATGCTGAGGCCTCCTTACTGACACCCACATTCAGGGCATATGGACCAGTCCAAATCTGGCCACTCAGCTATCAATCTTGGGTCTATGAGCTCCCCCTTGTTCAGGTCAGCTGTTTCTCGGGTTTCACCCGCCAAGTCTTAACCCTTTGCTCATCACTTCTCCCTCTCTGCAACTGGGTTCCAGGAGTTCACTTCAGTGTTTAGCTGTGGGTGTCTGCCTCTGCTTCCTTCAGCCACTGGATGAAGGCTCTAGGATGGCATACAAGGAAGTCGTCAATCACATTATCAGGAAAGGGCATTTAAGGTATCCTCTCCACTATTGGTTAGATTGCCAGTTGGTGTCATCCTTGTAGGCCTCTGCATCTCACCTCAGACCATAATGGCTCTTTCTATTTTGGTATCTCTCATCCTTCTCTTCTCTATTCTTCTCCCAACTCAACTTTCTTGCTCCCCCATGTCCTCCTCTCCCCTCTTCTCCCCCTCTCTTTCTCCCAGCTTCCTCAACTCCCCTTGCTTCCAGTCCCTTCAGAAGATTCTGTCCTGTTCCCCTTCTCTGGGTTACCATGCATATCTCTCTTAGGGTCCTCCCTGTTTCCCAGACTCTCTGGCTATGGGATTGTAGGCTGGCACTCCTCTGTTTCATGCCTAAAATCCATATCTGAGTGAGTACATACCATGCTTGTCTTTTTGTGACTGGGTCACCTCACTCAGGATGGTTTCTTCTAGTGCCATGCATTTGCCAGCAAATTTCAAGATTCCATTGTTTTTTTTCTCCTGCTGAGTAGTACTCCATTGCATAAATGTACCACATTTTCTCTATCCACTCTTCAGTTGATGGAAATCTAGGTAGCTTCCAGGTTCGGGCTATTACAAATAATGCTGCTATGAATATAGTGGAAAAGACATCCTTGTTGTATGATTGTGCAACTTTTGCGTATATGCCTAAGAGTAGAATGGCTGGGTCTTGTGGTAGGTTTATTCCCATTTTTCTGAGGAATTTCCATACTGATTTCCAAAGTAGGTGGTTGGCACTCCCACTAGCAGTGGAGGAGTGTTCCCCTTTCTCCACATCCTCTTCAGCATAAATTGTCGTTGGTGATTTTTATTTTAGCCATTCTGACAGGAGTGAGATGGTATCCCAGAGCTGTTTTGATTTACATTTACCTGATGGCTAAGGATGTTGAGCACTTTCTCAAGTGTCTCTCAGCCATTTTAAACTTTTCTATTGAGAATTCTCTATTTAGTTCTGTACCCCACTTTTTAATTGGATCCTTTGGTGTTTTGGAGACTTGCTTCTTGAGTTTACAGAGACAGAATTTTTAAGTGTTTTAATTTCTAAAGACTGTGTGATCTTTAAATTTTGGAGTGTTTATATTGTAACATGTGTGTTAATGTGTTAGCTTTAAAATAAGGTTGGAGATATGCTTATATGTGGGTACTGTCCAAAGTCTAAGCATGAAGCTATAAGGGTTCCAGCACTTACCTTGGAAAAGCAGGTTCTGCACCATTTTAGTCTATGTTGAATGCTGAGCCATTTTTGCCTTCTCCTTGACTGAGGGCAGGGGAGCTCAGTAGGGCAGTCAATGGCCTATTTTCTTTTTCTTTTTAATTTTCCCCAATCCCTTTCCCTCCTCCCTTCTCCCCTCCCACCCTCCCCCTACCCCCCACACTCCCGATTTACTCAGGAGATCTTGTCTTTTTCCCCTTCCTAGGAGGATGTATGTATGCCTCTCTTAGGGTCCTCTTTGTTACTAGGTTCTCTTCTTTCTCCTTTTCTAACCCTGTGTCTCCCTCTCTCCTTTTCTAGTTCTTGTCCTCTACATGTTTCCACTTTGACCAGGAGGTCACTGCCCTGAGCTAGGAAGTGCTGAGGATCTGCAGAGCAGAAATGCCACTGCCACGTAATCCCTCCCGGGTCAGAAGTTTAATTCATCATTTCAGGGTTGCGTAGCAGAGCGGGACAGATCTTTCATTTCTCATCCCTCAGACGGGACATTTGAATGCTCCATGGAAGTTGGAAATGTCACTGAGTTTGTGCTCCTGGGACTGACCAGCAACCCTTGGACTGGGGTACTGCTCTTTGCGCTGTTCTTGGTGATTACCTCTTGACCCTCGTGGGGAACTTGCCGATGCTGCTGGTGATCAGCTGTGATCCCCACCTTCATACCCCCATGCACTTCTTCCTGAGACACCTCTCCCTCATAGATGTTTTCTATTCTTCAGTCATTGCGCCTAAGTTGCTGAAGAGCCTTATTTCTGAGTGGAAGACTATATTGTTCCTTGGGTTTTTCATTCAGATCACCCTGGTTATATTTTCTGGGGCCACTGAAGCCTGCCTCCTTTCTGCCATGGCCTATGACCGGTTCCAGGCTGTGTGCCACCCACTGTTATATGTGGTCACTATGAATGGAAAGGTATGCTCTGGGCTGGCGGTTTTGTCTTGGGCTGGAGGAATCAGCGTTAACCTGATTAACGCCCTCCTGCTAGCTCAAGAGCACTTCTGTGGCCGGAACCTAGTCCACGGCTTTGCCTGTGAGACGCCCCCAGTGCTCCTGCTGGTCTGTTCTGACCCCCACACTACTGTCACCTCCACCCTGACAACACTGGTGATCTTAGGCTTTGGTACTCTGGTCCTGCTACTGGGATCCTACAGCCGCATCATCATGACAGCCCTGAGCATCAACTCGGCCACAGGTCGGAGCAAGAGCTTCTCCACATGTTCTTCATGTGACTTCCTTGTAGCCTCCATCTTTTACGGTTCGGGAGTATTCGGGCGTGGCCCACAGTAGCTCCTCATCATAAATGCCATGTGTTCCTCTCCTAACCGCCCTGGGCCTACAGAACAGAGCATCAGTGCAGCAGGAAAGAATCATCCTGGAATTCCCAAGGCTTGGGCTCCAGCCCTGCTCTGCTGTGGTTTTCAAAAGGCTCACCTGAGCCTACAGATGAATGTACCTCCCTTTATCTCAGTATCTTCATAGTCCATAAAGCGACAATATTTCCCCTGCTTATTTCCCAAAAATATTAGAAAAATAGATCTTTAGAAATTATAGTTAGAAGCCTAGCGTTGGTGGCGCATGCCTTTAATCCCAACACTAGGGAGGCAGACGCAGGAGGATCTCTGTGAATTCAAGACCAATCTGGTCTACAGAGCTTTCCAGGACAGCCTCCAAAACAATACAGAGAAACCTTGTCTCAAAAAAACCAAAAAAAGAAAAAAGGAAAAAAAATTATAGTTAGATGAATACCTTTTCCTTAAAGTGTGTGTGTGTGTATGTATGCGTGTGTGTGTGTGCGCGCGCACAAGCGCTAGCACACACACGCGCACGTGAGTGCATGCATATGTGTGCACATGTGTGTAAGTTCTGCAGAGGTGGCACGAGGGCACTGGATCCTCTGAAACTAGAGGCACATGTGGTCATGTGCTGTCTGACATGTGTACTGTGAACCAAACTACAATCCCCCATTGAAGTAGCAGCATTCTTAGTCACAAGCCACCTCTCCAGCCCCTAAATACCTTTTTTAATCAAATCAAGAAGAGTTCATAAAGAACATTCTTGATATGTTGGATTTGTCCCAGTGATTAATGCCATTGATAAAGTAAAAATATTTCTTGGGGAAATAATCCTAGGGATACTTAAGTTATGCCCAATAATTTAATCTTAAAACTTAAAAATCATGTGTGTTGCTTACCTCATTTTTTGTATCATAACTAGTAAGGGGAAAATAACATGCAATGTCACAAGGGAGACATCATACTGTTTAAATTCACACTGACGTGTAATGACTGACACCAGGTATTCCCTGAGAGTGTTTACACTAGGCACAGCGCAGATCTCCACTCCACACACATATACCTAATCTGTGGCTATAGATTTCCTAAACACAGGAGTTTCATTTGGGAGCTGATGACTGCTAAGACAAGAGAAGCATGACCTGACTGTCTGAAGCCCCACAGGGTAGTGGGGTAGTGTAATAAATTTCCATTGTCAGCTTTGCTAGATTTAGAATTGCCATGGAAACACATCTCTGGGTGTCAATGAGGGTGTTACCAAAATGTTTAGGCAAAGAGGAAAGACCTGCCTTGAATGTGGGCAGCACCACCATCCCATCAGCCGAATTGCAGACTGAATAAAAAAGAGAGTATGAATGGGAGTCCAGGATCCTCCTTTTCTACAGTGTGGATTTCTACAGATCACTAACAGTGGGATTGCTGATGTGTGTAAAACTTGTCTCTTTTTGTAAACTCAAAAAATTCTAGTAAGTTCCAGTTAAGTACTGTCAGTCAACAGCCTAAGTTTCCCCACCTACTGCCTGTTTCTGGGGAGGAGGGGGTCTCCTCTTCACCTTTCCCTGGTCTTGGAACCCTACCTCCCTCTCAATTTTTAAGAGGGAGTTTTTTTCTTAGGTTGTGGTAATTGAGAGGGGACTAAGAAACAAATTTCCTCCTAAAACTTGGCTTTGTTTTCTGTCAGCATCCCGCCAGGTCCCCTCGAAATCTGCATCCAGGAAATGGCTAGCCCAAAGTGGTCCAGCCTTACACACTGCTTCAGCTAGACCATCCCACAGCTTTGACAGTGAGTGAGATAACCAGTTATCCCAGGACTCGGCCAGCATCTCAGCTTTCTCAGGTCCCCCATAGATGCCAAGTCCTGAGACAACAGGAAGCAGTCTAGAGAATATAGCACCCCCATTCCCTCCTCACCAGATACACTTCCTATTTCCTAACTTGTTTGTTTGTTTGTTGTTTGTTTTTGTTTTTCAAGACAGGGTTTCTCTCTATTGCTTTGGAGCCTGTCCTGGAACTGGCTCTGTAGACCAGGCTGGCCTCCAAGTCATAGGGTGCTGGGATTAAAGGCGTGCACCACCAATGCCCGGCTTTCCTCGCCTTTTTATAATAAACAAAAGGAAGGGATGTTAGCTTCATGCAGCAGCCCGCCTCTGCCACTGAAGCAGTTACGTCATCCCCTGTCACCAGCGCCTTTCCACCTTCGGCTGTGCAACATGGGCACCACAGCTCGCTCTCTTGCCTCTCCTCTGTAATGTTTCTCTGCCTGCCTGTCTGCCTGTCTCTCTCATGTCCCACCTTTGGCATAGCCTTGGCTCTTTCACCCGCCCCCCAGGCCTCCTGCACGAGCTCCGTGCATGCAGTGTGTTTGCTTAGCAGCACGCCTTGGCAGGGCCTGAAAAGTACCTGTTTCGCCTTTCTTTTTTTTAATCATTACATTAATGACAGACACATCAAGTCAGGCCCTTTATTTAGAACAGGACAGGACTCTTGCTTTGGTGAAAATGCCGAGACCCTCACCATCCCTAAGCAAGCAAGAGTCTGCAGTCCACTGCTCCTGTCACACACCCTTTCACAAAATCCCTCCTGAGTCCAGTGGTGTCGCTACAGGGTACAGGGCTCAGAGGCAGATCGTCTTCATGGTGGAAAAACAGAGCCGGACTGAGGTAGCCTTAGGGAAGAGGCATTCCAGAACATGGGGCAGGCGTGACAAGGACATCAGGAGCTCACAGGTTCTCGCAGCTCCACTGTTCTAGCTTCTCAGAGCACAGTGGTTTGTGTGCCATCCTATTCATGGAGAAACAGACAAAATGAGTTGGCTGACTGGACCTTTCTTTTTAATTTACTATGCCAAATAATGGGTTCTATTATGACATTGATTCCATTATGGCATTTTCATACATGTATATCATTGTACTTTGCTCAGTTACCAACACTCACATGTACACACATACACACACACACATACACACACACCTTTCTCCCCTCTTTCTGGTAGTTAGCAATGTCTTAGCATAAAGCTTCTTCCTCAGGGTGAGGTGAAAGATTGTAGGCAAGAAATAGACATTCTGAGATACACGGCAAGGACTTCTAAATGGAATACAGCTCATTAAAATAATAATTGACAAAATCAAGGAAAGGGCAGATCTAGAAAAGATATGTAATGATACATATTGCTTTAAGACTAAAAACTGCTCAGGGTAACAGAGACCTGGATATCAGTCTTCCAATAGGGAGCTTCATACCAGGAAAGTTGTCACACAGGAATGACACAGAAGAAGGTCTTTAAAATGGACCCTTTGGGTCTGCCAGATGAGCTCTGCTTTGGAGACTCTACCCAAGATTAAATGGCCAGGGGATGCAAGGGAGGAGAGCACATTGCTCTCTGGAGGAAAGAGAAGACATGATTTACCAGTAGTCGATCCCTTTGATATCCAGGATCTTCTTGGCACACATTTTGTCATCGGTGAGGTCATCATCCAGGAACTCTAGCAGAGTGCAGGAAGAAATGACAGCTAAGAAGTGCAGCTCAGAGAAGTGATGGGCTCACTAGTCCCTGGGCCCAGGGGGCCTGGTTCTGAGCTGAAGGCTTGACCTACTGACTTTCTTAGGGAAAAAACCAATCTAGTAACACCTCCCCTAGGTAGGGACTTCCTTCCATTCCCAAACACCTCTGAGAAGTCACCAGCTTCATCACACCTGAAAACACAGACTTTGAGTCTCAGAAACAGATTGCCTCTCCCTAAACTTTGGAGGGGGACTTTCTGGCCACGTGGAGATCATGCCCAGGGACCAGTTTCTTACTAAGCATCGTCATTTCAAGTCACAGTGTTCTTAGAGAGCGACTCCTGAGATGTCCTGGGTACCAAGAAGGAGACTGCCTCTGAGGAAGGCCGTAGGGAAGCAGAAGAGCAGGGTGAAAGAGGCTACTCACTGTCGCAGGAAATGCCACAGATGTTCTCTGACTCGGAGACCTCACTACTCTCACACCAGTGTTTGTTACTGATCTGGAAGAGTCCGTACTCTGTGTTGCCATTGTTCTTGACTATAGTTTGTGTGTCGTAACCACTGCTGTGAAATGCAATGCAGGTCCCTGAGGGAGATGGAGAAAAGACGTTTCACAGAGATGTGTAGGAGCAGCATAACTGAGGAACTGGTCTCCCCGCAGAAAACAAAGGCCTCCCGACCAATCTCCAAAAGTAGTGAAGTACAAAGTCGCTTGATGAAGTGACAGGGATCAGACAGTGGAAGAGAGGAAGAACAGGAAAGAACACTGAATAAAAGGGAACAGAACAAAAGAAGAGCTAGAAGACTGCAAGGAGATGATTGGGTGAAGGTGGAGGAGACAAGAGAGAGAATGGCAATGGGGAGAGAGAGGACAGGAACCAGATGGAGAAAGAGTAGAGCAATAAACTCACACTCGAGCGAAGTGACGCCTTCATGGCCGTCCATGTCTTTCATGGCCTGGTACACCTCACATTTTGTGAGTTGTGTGGCTTGAATGGCAGGAAACAAAATGCACACCAGGATCAAAGGAACAAAAGGCATCATTTTGGTGGCTCCTGGATCTTGAAATGCAGACGCTACTCAGCTTCACCTGCCTTTATATAGGAAGAAAGCTGCCAGATCCCTGGCACCAGGCCTGCTACCTAGAAGGATGATGAACAGAGAGTGCCTATGCCAAAATAGAAACTCTGAGCCTGCCAGCTTCCTCCCATCGTTTCTCCCTAACTTTCCCCCCCTCTCTTCCTACGTATAGTCAATACTGAGCATTGTTCTCTGCACATACAGTTCCACACATGATCCTGCTTCTCATCAGCTTTGAAAACCTTCCATTTCTTTTAGGGCTGGTTCTAGGAAGCAGGGTGTCGCTAAGCTACTTTAGGAACAAAGGGGGCTTCAGAGACAACACAAGTGAGGTGACTGGAAAACACAGAGTTCACAGCCAACTCTGTTCTTTTTTTAAATTTATTTTTCAGTTTAAATTTAGATAAGAAACAAGGTTGCTTCACAAGTCAGGACCAGGTCCCTCTCCCCTTCCCTCCCCTCCTCCCGTGCCCTCCCCCTAACCCCCCCCCATTATCCCCTCATTTCCTCAGGGAGGGTGAGGCCCTCCATGGGGGTGTCCATAGTCTGTCATTTCATACAGGGCAGGACCTAGACCCTCCCCCAAGAGTTCAGGGTGAGAGTGCACCTCACATTGTTGGATGGGAGTCCAAAGTCCGTGTGTATACTCGGGATGAGTACTGATCTGCTGCCCAAGGCTCAATAGATTACCTAGGCCTCCTCACTGACACCCACATTCAGGGGGTCTTGATCAGTCCCATGCTGGATTCCCAGGCTGATGGCATGTACTCTCTCATATATGGATTTTAGACAGATCTGGGGAGTGCCAGCCTACAATCCCACAGCCAGAGAATCTGGGAAACAGAAACTTCATTCAGTGGTTGATGGAAGAAGAGGCAGACTCCCATGGCTAAGCACTGAGCTGAACTCAAGAAAGCCAGTAACAGAGAGGGAGGACTGATGACCAAAGGGATTAAGACTGGGCTGGTTTAACCCCCAGAAACAGCTGACCTGACAAAGGTTAACTCTTGAAGCCAACTCTGTTCTTATTCCCTGTCCCATCCTGCAGGATGTCAACCTGGAGCAAGAGACCTAAGGACGGTGAATGGGGTCAAGAGACATGAAAGAAAGACCACAAGACAGGTTTCTGATCAAGTGGAAAAAAATGTTTTTCTCAGGTCAGCTAATGTACTTGGTAGAGCAGGAAAATGGAGGGGAGTGAGAGGATTGCTCTGAGCGCCAGGTGTGCATATAGCAGGGTATTGTTTCAGCACATAGAGCAGGATATTGGCAAGGTAAAAAGTTCAAAAGGGAGAGGAACCGGTGGGCTAACGGCCATTGCCTCGGTGATGGTTAGGGTTGGCTGAGTTTGAACAAGCTTTTTGGACATGGTGTTCCTATGTTCTACCTTTGTGGTTTCTCTTCTGAGTAGCCCCAGAAGGCTCCTTTGTTAGAGCTATAGGCCAATTATATAAATCTTTAGACCTTAGGAAGTACACGTTTGGCTCCAAAAGATCAGGGTACCTGAGGCGCTCCCAACAGTTCCCAAACACAGAATGTGGAAAGGGGGTGTAGCATGTCCTAGGATCAAAATTGGCATTGGTCTGACCAACCTAGCCTTGGAGAAAAGTCCAGGAAGAACTCCTTGATATGGTGGCTCATAGCTGAAGGCCTCAGAGAAAGGGATAGAACATGGTGACAGAGAACACGAAAATCAAATACAACTTGGATTCTAAGACTTCCTATGGAGGAAGATACATAATTTGAAGTTTGTATGAAAACATCTAGCTATTCTATGAGCCATTGCCAAGCTCCCCAACCCCAATCACCACTCCGGTAAGTAACTAGATGCTACATTGGCATTAATTAAGTAAGACATTGTGTCAGGACAAGGCCAATTTCATAACATTGTTCTTGTGAAAGTAGCTTTTACATAGCTCCAGAGTGGGCCACAGACAGTTTGAAGAGGGTGGCCCAAGTCATAGAGGATATTTCTGAGTCCTCAGCCAGCTATAAAGTCATCTGCCCTGAGCAAGTGAGGCCAGGTACAAGTTCTGAGTAATTTGTGTAACTTGTTGGCATTGAGGGCTATAGCCACAGTATCAGTAATAGTTTCCCTCCTTCCTGCCTGTGTTAATCTTAGACTGGGTTTACAGACTGGGAAATCTATAAACCTGATTTCTTCATTTCCTGAAGATTCTATCCTAACCGAGCCACCTAAGACTTAAAAACTCAAAGTCTCCCAATTTGCTATTATCTCTATGTCTTCAGGGTCAAAGAAACTCACTCAGTTTAATCCCATCTCATCTACTCTGGGCAACCAGTGTATAACACAGCATGAATGGAGCTGGGAGGTGGTGGCACACACATTTGATCCCAGCACTCAGGAGGCAGAGGCAGGTGGATCTCTAAGTTCGAGGCCAGCCGGGTCTACAGAGTAAATTCCAGGACTACACAGAGAAACTCTGCCTGTCTCAAGAAAAAAAGGTGTGGGGGAGAAAAAGAAAAAAGGAAACATGGCAAGAATGAAACTTGTACAGAGGACGTGGAAAACCAAGATGAACAGAAACTCCTGGATGGAGAGGGGCACATGCCCAGACACACAGCAAACATGCTGCCAGAAGTACTGGAAGGGTTCATGACAAGAATGGGAACTCTGTCACACTGGACAACTCACATGGAGAATGAGAGTGAGGACGGGGGAATAACCTGGAACCACACAGGACTAGAACACCTAAAAAGAGATAGACCCGGTGAAATCTTCCAAATAGTGCGTCTGTATACAATGCCTCTAGACCTGGGCCATGGACTAAGTATTTATGACTGAGTGAAACGGTAGCCCAGAGTCTTAGGGGCCACAGGGGCTTTCTACACTTCCAGGCATGTCCACCTGCCTGTCACATGATTGCATCTCTCTGCCCTTCCTGGTAAGCAATAAAAAGCAATGTAAGGTCCAGGAATCACAGCTAAGCCCAGATGAGAAATCAAATGCTGCCCCGGGCAGGAGGAACCATCATTTCCCTAGAAATGTTTGTAAAAGTGGGGCCATCTGAGGAGAGATAGCTCATGGGAACAACTGCAAACATTTAGAGGAAGAGGTCAGTTCCTGGAGGTGGAACAGCAGACTATGATCACAGCACTGGAAGAGGAAGAAACGGAAGGACATAAGCACTACCAAGGAGGAAGGCTCCTGCCCAAATCTCCTTTCAGTGGGGGGTGGGTGTGACATGCATAATACAAACCCAGAGACAGATATTGAGGTTAAAGTTGCAGATCAGAGAAGCAAAGCAGCCAGCCACTAGCTCTTACATCTACCAAGGCTGAAATGGAGATCCTGTCCTCCCTGTAAATGGAAACTAAATCTCACATAAGACCCTTTGCTTCTTCATTATATACCTCTCTAGTGCTGGGATTAAAGGTGTGAGCTCTGTTACTCTTTTTTATAATATTTTTTAATTCAGAAACAATCTATTTTACATACCAATCCCCTGCTCCCTCTCCCATCCTATCATGCCCCCTACCAACTCCCACAACCCACCCCCTACCCACTCCCCAAGGATAATGAGGCCTTCTATGGGGGATCATCAAAGTCTGTCACATCATTTGGGGGAGGGCCAACGCCCTCCTCTATGTATCTGGGCTGAAATCTGTGTATGCCTCCATAGGGAATGGGTTCCCAAAGTCCATTTGTGCACTAGGGATAAATGCTGTTTCCACTGTTAGAGGACCCATAGACTGCCCAGGCCTCCTACTGGCATCCACATTCAGAGGGTTTGGTTTGGTACAATGCTGGTTCCCCAACTGGGGTCCCTGTGCTCTCACTAGGTCAGGTCAGCTGTTTCTGTAAGATTCTCCAGTATAGTCTTAACTTCTTTGCTCATCCCTCCTACCTCTCTGCAACTGATTTCCATGGGTATGGCTTAGTGCTTAGCTGTGGGTGCCTGCTTCTGCTTCCATCAGCTCCTGGATGAAGGCTGTAGGATGGCAATTAAGGTAGTCATCAATCTCATTATAGGGGAAGGGCATCAAAGGCAGCCTCTCCACTACTGCCTAGATTCTTAGTTGGGGTCATATTTGTGGATCTCTGAACATTTCCCTAGTGCCAGATTTCTTTTTAAACTTATACTGGCTCCCTCTATTAAGGTAGCTCCTTTCTTGCTCTCCTCTATTCCTCCCCTGACTCAGTTTTCCTGATCCTTCTTGTTCTCCTCCCCCCTCCTCTTCTTGCCTTCTCTTTTTCCTACCTCCCTCCTGTCTTCCCCCATGCTCCCAATTTTCTCAGGAGTCCTTGTCCTAAATGGAGAGAAACTCAACACAATTACTCTAAAATCAGGAACAAGATAAGGCTGTCCACTCTTTCCATGTCTTTTCAATATTGTACTTGAAGTTCTAGCTAGAGCAATAAAACAACAAAAGGCGATCAAGGGGATACAAATTGGAAAGGAAGAAGTTAAACTTTCACTATTTGTAGATGATATGATAGTTTACATAAGTGACCAGAAAAACTCTACCAGGGAACTCCTACAGCTGATAAGCACCTTCAGAAAAGTGGCAGGATACATGATTAACTCAAAAAAAAAAACAGTAGCCTTACTATATACAGATGATAAATGGGTTGAGAAAGAAATCAGAGAAACATCACCCTTTACAATAGCCACAAACAACATAAATATCTTGTGGTAATGATAACCAAACAAGTGAAAGACATGTACAAGGACTTGGAGTCTTTAAAGGAAGAAATTAAAGGAGATACCAGAAAATGGAAAGATCTCCCATGTTCTCGGATAGGTAGGATCAACATAGTAAAAATGACAATCTTGCCAAAAGCAATCTACAGATTCAATGCAATCCCCATCAAAATCCCAACACAATTCTTCACAGAACTTGAAAGAACAATACTCAACTTTATATGGAAAAACAAAAAAACCAGGATAGCCAAAACAACCCTGTACAATAAAGGAACTTGTGGAGGCATCACTATCCCTGACTTCAAGCTCTATTATAGAGTTCTGAAAACAGCTTGGTA